GTCATGCGATGCAGTTGTCAATTTTTTTTCATCTAGTATCCGCAGAAAATAATGTTTCCCATTTGATTCTCCGGTTGCTTCTGCCACCAGATCTTCGTATGGTCCTCCATTTCTTACAGCGCAGCGTGCCAAAAACAAGGTGGTGATCGGTTGACAGTTCTGCATCTGCGCCTGTTTTAACGCAAACATCCATTACAGAGGGTCGTAAGTCAGACGACTCGAATATCAAATCAGGCATCGATTTCTGTGCACAAGCTTCCTCATACCAGGTATACTGATGCACGCTTCAATGCTCAAAGGTGTTCATATAGAGTCCGTTGTGTGCACAAAACTGCAAAAACTTCATGCTGTTATTATTAAGATCGCTAAGGTCGTTCTTTCCAATCACGCCTTTTCACTTTTCAGTGTCTGCTCTGATATGTGCATTGCAACGAGGGACTCGGTAGTCGGCACATCTTCCACTTCCTCAAGGAAGGACTAATATTCTTCCCCGAAATCGAGAACACAGACCTGGAGCAAGGTGAAAGCTTTAGCCAGATGTAACTTCGACCGGATGACTCGCACTCTTCCAATGACAGGCTACCGTTCACCAGAACACCACAGCTAACAGAACACCAACTCCGACCTGAGCGCCTGTCGTGGAGTCGACATCTGAGTGGAATCGGTTTAGCCAGTAGAGGCTCAGAATTTCAGAACCTCAGCCCTTCACAGACAAGAGTCCAGATATGTGCAGTCGGTGGCTAGCGGCATCAAAAATTAGTTCCAACTCTTTCCCAATGAGTGAAGAAACGTTAAAATTCTCGACTGTAAGCTGCCACTGCCAGTACCGTTCTTGCATAAACATATCTGACATGATGTAATGGTATCATGCCGTCTGCCTCCCGCGTTCAGAGCGGGCAACGCCTGCTACGCTGACTCGTATCTCTGTGTTTAGAAATAACTTGCCGTTGTTCGAACTAAAAGGAAACACTGGAATGGACAATTTTCTTTATACGCAAGAAGGAGCAGAGAACATTAAGGTTATGTATCGAGATATAAATAAGGCAGTTACAGAAATGACGGACAGCATTTTAGGTAATATGACTAAGAAGAATGACTGAAAAATTTCGAATTACCAAAGAACTCGTGCAGAAACGAGGGAAATGAAAGCAGCGGCAGATCAGAAGTAGAATGTTTAAAAAACATTAAGGAAACTCATAAAAGAAGACATACACAATGGTAAACGAAACCCTTAAATTGAATGACGCATAAACAAATTAATTCGAAGAGAGGCCGTCACGAAACGTAAAGGTTAAGCTGCCAAAGCCGAACGTAGGATTGTCATGAGAGGCAGGCAAAACATCCTGGACAGAGTTGAAACTTTCCAAAGAAAACGGCAACTATCTAAATGACGAAGCAGAGCCTTCGGAAACGAATGAAGTCAGAACATAGGAAAATTCTAGCCATTTTGCGGTAGAAGTACCGTAGGACAGGTAGCGAGGTAAACGACGAGAGGAAGGACCCTCGGCAAAAAGAGCGTTATAATGGAACTCGTGAAGTTCTGACAAGAATATTAGCTACTATACTAAATAGAAATGATGGTCTGAAAGGATACCGGCTCATCAGAATGCTATTAGTCATCCACAACAGCTTCACGAACACAGCTCAAAAAATGCTCGACTGTGCACAACCAAAGACGCAAGCAGGATTCAGAAGTAAGTTTAGAATCATGTGTCACCTGCAGATTGAACATCAAGTGACTTAGACAAGCAATGAATATCAGCTTTCGTCTGTCAGAGATTTTTCACTTTCGAGAAGGCATTCGTCCCATTCTACACCTGACCTATATTAGATGCCCTGATGAGCTAGGGAATTGAGAAAAGATACAGTGACATCATCGGCGTTATCTACACGATTGTAACAGTTAGCACAAAACTTCACGAAGAGATCAACAAATTGGAGATCGAAAATGATGACCCTGACAAGGTGATGGAATATCACCGAAGTTATTCATAGGATAGTAGAAAATGATTCTCCAGGTATTCCACTTGAAAAATCAACAGATGCAGATTATCGGACAGTACTCCAGCTACCTGTGGTTTGTCAGCCATATTGTGATACTCACAACGTATCCAAAGGTACTCCAGTTCACGCCATGATGCCAGTTTCAAAGTAGAATTGCAAATGAACCTGAAGAATACTCAGATCATGCTGAACAACTACGTGACAACACGACCTGTTTTAGTCAATGAATTTAAGCTTGAAGATACACATCTAGACATATAGTCACAGCATATCATATACGTAAATAAATGCCTTTGCATAAACGTAAATTTTCCCAATGAACAGTGAACACACAGAACATCACTTACCCGACCACCACTCTCCTGAACTGGATTGACGGAAGCTCGATTAATTTCTGCCACGATGCAATCACTTTCCGCTCGACCGATGACTGCCTCTTGGGTACCGGCTTTTTATACACGTCATACAGAAAGGAAATACCACCAACGAGTAGAGACACTATTAAAAGCCAATTTGACACCTCCATTTGTGATGCTGCAGCTAAAACCGGTATGTAAGTAAAAATAATTCGTCACGGCAAACAACGGCGCGCATCGAGCATAGAGAGATCAAGTATCACAAATGCTAGAATGTCGACAGCAGAGTATCTGCAAATATATCAACTAGCAAAACGTTTCTTACCTGATTTTTGAATCGCAAAGCTGGTGAATTCCATGCCCAACGGAATCCACAGTTGACACGTAAATAAATTTATTGTTGGGTCAATGAGTCAAATTAGGAATCTCTGACCAGATGGGTTACGGGCAGACAAATGGATTACAGTTTTCCAACTGTGCTTATTCAGCTACGAAGGGGGTCATTATTAAAGCAATCAGCCGGAATGCTGAAATTATTAAGGACGACACTCGACTATGATACAGAAGAACTAGGAAAACCAACACATTTTATTCTTGTATACTGTCGATCACTATTCACTTTTCACTTTTTTGGATGAAAATCTTTTAGTGCTGTCATGAAAGTGCATGCAAGTGCTTGATTATCTAGATGTGAAGTATATTTTCATATCCGAAGTATATATTTTCAACTTAATAAAAAATAATAATAAAACAAAATATATCTATTCACGTTCGAACTCTGATATTCTCCTCGGGAAGGGAAAGCAAGAGCTTCCGGCAACAACGTGGCCATCACAAAGTGGACAGCATCGTGGGCATGTAAATAGCAGAGCGCCAAAATACTCCACCTATTATACGTCCCTAACAAGAATTACGTGCTTAAACCACCGCAACTATTCCGTTTCGATCAAAGAAACAGTGCCCCCTTTCAGCCGTTTCGATCCATCCCAAATCGCATTTGGCATATCAGTATCAGGCACCTAAGCCCAAAGAGGATGGCAAGCAAGCAGGAAAACCTAGAGACATTCGACTTGGAATCGCTGTTCAGCTTTATTTTCACAGTCAACGCCTGAATCAGCCTTCGAGCTACTGCGCTCGCTTGTCTAGTTCCTGCGTCAGTGTTAACGTCCTTCATACTGTCACTCAGAAAGATTAATTCGAAATACTTCAACTCATGCACCTGCTTTAGCCGCACTCCTCCAACGGCCGAAACAAGATAGTAAATGGCTATTTTAGAGAGTACAAAGGCCCCGATTCGGTTCTGACTGATCTTCATCTCGGCTGCAACACACGCAGCATCGAACATTAAGCGCAAGACTG